CCTGAAATACGAGGTAGTAAGCGCACACGACTCTCAGCCCTTCGCATGAGCTAGTTCAATGTGTTGACGCTTTGTAGTAGTTCGCTTACCTGTCATGTAACGCGGACACGGTCTGAGAAGACTTATTGGTTTTGCATAGTCAGCAATCATACAAAGGTCGTTTACGAATAGGAAATGCTAGCCATTTTGTTTGCTTCCGAAATTCATGTTCAATTGCCTCGAATATTCAAGTCAACGCTAGCCTTGCACCTCTCCTCCCCACCCCCTCTTGTAGTGATTCTGTAGGATGAATACATATTAGATTTCATACTTCTGTACTGCACACTCTAATAAGATTCAACTTTCATTTGCATACGGCTGCCATGCGGAACCTATCGTGTACAAGTTCAGGGAGCTATATTGCTTTCAAGCGCGGCTGTGGAAGCGGCTTTGAGGCTTAATGGCTTTTTGTTTTTGCTGCGTGATCAATTTCAGCAACAAGGAGAAACTTTTCGTCGCATGCATTGCTATTGTTGAGCTGGAGTGCCCAAGAGAGTTACTTTAGCAGGATGAAGATGAGCGAGGATGTGTTTACATAGAGGTGAAGAAGGTTAACCAGTTTTGCTTTGGTGCTCGCAGATGCGGAGGGCGGCTAGAGGTCCTTGTGATGCGCTCATTTCCTCCAAAAACTCTGAGGCTTGACTCAACGTTGTTTTGGCCAATGCATGGCAATCAATTTTCATTACCGCTGTGTATCTCCAGCCTATACTGGGCCATAAATTTGTTTATACTTAGTTGTGCACTCACACATAGCCGTTGCGTTTGTATTTATTCGAGCTACTAGAATGCGTCCAGAGCTGGGCTGCAACAAGCACGGCAAGCTTTACTCTCCTGAGAAGTTAGCCATAGAAGTCTTCATTTATGCGGAATGAAATGTATCATGAAATTGTATTCGCTCACTGGTTTTCGTTTCGTCCGTACGTATTCACTTCATCTTGAGAAGTTCTACTTTCCTCTAGAAATATAACTTCCAGGAATTATGTCGACGGCGACGACGAATCGTTTGCACCTCTACAAGAACTGTGCCCGTGCTCATGCAATGCGTGATTCGCTGCGAAAGGTAGGCATAGCTGTTTGTGGGCATCCGTGCTTTATCGTTAGAGCCATGAAGAATTGTAGAGATGCGCTGAGAAGCTCAGAGAGAAACGTCTAGATCAGTTCGAGTCGCGTCGACAAATGGAATCCATTGTGCGGGACAGTAAATTATATTTTGGTTCAATTTTTAAATTTGTGCCGACGCATTTTTTCAGCTAGGTGAGTTGTTTAATGTATTTTATAAGCGTCAGCTGCGTGGAATGGAAGACCGGTATTGGACGACCTGGATGAAAAGTGCGTGGCGCTGGACTTATTTCGTGTCGGCCCAAGGCTCTAGTTCGAGCGAGCGTAGAGTACATTTTTTTGCGGGTGCCTCCAATGACTCCGTCCAGTTATGAGTGCGACGTTGATGTTTTCATCGGCGTAGCTATTCTCGCGGAGATACGACGACAGCCTTCGGCTTTGAAAGGTAAGAGCGGGACCTCGCTGCCGACGTTGAAGATGTTTGGATCGCTCCGCGGGTCTGTGTCTGCCCTGTTTACGGAGTCGGCCAACTGTTGATTTACGGGAGAAGTCAGCCCAAGTGCAAGGGGGAGCGCATAGGCAGATTGTTGCTTTCTCAGTCCATTCGAAGGCGCCGATGATTAGCCGCTACGTTGATTTATTGCCACTTGAAATGAAGGTAGCAGGTGCTAGAATGTGATGCGCCGCAGCCAAAGAAAGAGAATCGGGGAAACTGCTCAGCCCTGGGACTTCGCGGGGATGGAAACTTTTTGCGATTGACTTTTCCTAGCGCCGAATGGGATTCGTATGATTGGCGCAGACGTCATCAGGTGAACGCCTGCCGGCGTTTTCTTTCTGCTGACTCGAGCTGAGATGCGCGCGAACGGCTAGAGGCCCAGGGCTTGGCACAACAGAGTCGAGACCGCCGAGGGTAAGGCACGAAGGGAGGTGTGGGTCACACCGCCCGGCGGTAATGCCCTGTCCTAATTGCGTCTCAGGTGAGTAGCGGTTGTGCCGCGTGCACTGCTCGTCCGAGCTATGCTTGGAAGAGCTGCCACTCGTAGCCAGTACGATCAGGCGAGCGGACTGTCTGGCGTGACACGCAGACGGTTTGGCCTGCTATTGATCCTATAGGTTGTTAGTAAGTAGATATGTCAGGCCTGACCGGAAAGCTGACTTATTGACACGACTGGGCT